TCTTTTTTGCAAAAAAAATCACTAAGATCTACTCTAAAAGTTCATCGGAAATATGATAGCACCAAATCACAATAAAAATTACACCAAGATCCATGCACCACTGAACAACTACTGCCGTCGCCAAATCGATCCGCCGACGTGCGCAGTCATCACTCTCATGCGGTCTTGCCGGAGCAAGGCTGATGTTGTTGAGTGGTGCCCGGCCGCACCACACTACACATGGATGCACTTTTTTTTTGTGATGTACACATGGAAGCACTTTGAGTTCACAAGTCATCATACTAATCGCCGACACCATCTGCCAACAATAAACTACCGATGTTGGAGATTAAAAGGCTATGTTAAAGGTTTTGGAGGCCAAGTTTTGCACTTTTGGAGTCTATGAGTTGAAGCCTGCCGTGTCAACTGCAAAAAGGCCGTCTAAACTCTGTGTGCTGCTATGCATATTAATGAATTATGTCAATACCAACACCATTTAGTTCATAATATGAAAGAATCCGTTCAAAAAATAATATGAAAGGATTATGACGTTTTTTCTTTCCACTAAACATGTGGAAAAAACACATTTTTTTATTCAGCAAGAGAGGGTTCTATTTCTATCTGATTAGCGATCTGAATAAGACCAAATCAACTGCTAGTGAGGCGCTGTTCTCCTATTCTCTCGCGTCTATGAAGTGAAAAAAATAATCTATGACGTACGACATTAATTTTGCAGCCTTTAAAAAATAATCTATGATGTAAGTGTTCATTTCATAATATGAAAGAAACCATTTGAAAAAAAAATCAAAGAATATGACGTGTGATCTTTCCACCGAACATCTGCCAAAACAAATTCGTATTCAAAAAGAGAGGGTTCTATCTGATTGGGGACCTGAATCAGACAAAATCAACTGCTTGTGAGGCTACTGTTCTCCTATTCTCTCGCATCTATGAAGTAGTAAAAATTATCTATGACATAAGACATTAATTTTGCAGCAAAGTCAATTATGTCTGTTGTGCAATAACCTCCTTTCAAAAGCATTGGCGCACGTGTTATACTAACACGAGTTGATCTATTTAAATGAGCTATAGCCCTTATCAGATACATCTGGACATATAAAGATGAATTCAGTATGCTAGAATAAGAAAAGGCGGTTCTGAGTTAACCTCGCCCTTTATAATATGATTTGTTTTCCTTTTTTCAATAATATCTTGATCTTGGAATATAATGCTTGCCACTTGTTAGAGGAATTTGGTTAATAAACGGAAAGAACCGGGTGTTCGTTCATGACCAAATGTGTATGAATATGGATAGAAGAAGGAAATAATTAGTTTTGATTTCATTTTGTAGAAGAAAAAGGAATTTTTGGTTTTAATTTTCAGTGTAAGAAGGGTTGAAGGGGTCAAAGTTGGTACTGAGAAGAAGATTCTTTTGACTTAACACAACCTAGTTGTGATGATTTTTCGAGGTTCTGAGAAAATTAAGCATAAAATTTACCAAAAGGAAAGATCGAAGAGGGAAACACAACCAACTATGTCACCAAGATAGCAACGATATGTGCCGGTCACTCCCGTCAAATAGAAAAAAAAAACAATGCGTGCCGGTCAGAATGAGCTTTTTTTTTAGAATCGTCAATATGAGCATGCTGAAACTTCTCGCACGCATGAGAACAGAGTTTTGAAACTGAAACTTCCAAGTATGAACTCCACTCTGTTTCTCAATTCTAATTAAATTGACAGCACCAGGTCTGAACTGCAATTTTTTTTTACTCGGTCCACATCAAGAGAAACCAATCATACCTTCTTCTTCTTTGATCCAAAGTTTATACTCTCTCCGTCTCGAAATAAGTGTCTTAGCCTTAACGTAATTTTGTATTAAAGTTAGTATAAAGTTGAGACACTTATTTTGGGACCGAGAGAGTAGTTGTGTGCCTGGATAGAAGTCATTTTCTGCTCAAGAGAGATAGAGACGAATCATAGTTGGACATTTGCTTGGTATTTTTAGCGCAAGAGAGGACGAAATGCACTACTTTTTCTATGCCATCTGGTGGGTCTGGATATGATGCAGCAGCACTGATGATGATGCCCATGTTTTATTGGCTAAACACCTGGATAAAATATCCAATCAACTTGATTGCTCGGCTGGTTTATTTCCCTTTCTCCTAAGCGATTGATAGAGACCAGACTTCAATTCAAATACTATAGCATTGTTATTATTGATTGTTTTTGACAGAAAACAACTCCTTGACAGAGATTAGGGATAACTCTAACCAAGTCAGATACAGTGCATTGGAAAAATAATTGAAGGCAAAGAGGTCCATGCTAAATCAAGAGAAGACGTCCAATCCAATGTACTCCTACTACCAATCTTTTAGACCTATTGTCAAATGTGCTCTTGCATCTTGCTAGAAGCAAGATCAAATTGCTACAAAGAATTTCCTTGTTACAAAATTAAGCCAGGAATGAATTACCCCTAAACTATGTGCAAGAACAATGGAAACACCCCAAAATTTGTAAAATCTCTTGCAAGAGCTCAAGTATGGGGAACTTGCACAATGATCTCGTAGGGAGTGAAGTTACCATCACCCGGTGGCGTCCTGCTGCGCCCGGTGCGACGACCGCGGGAACGGCCGCCGGAGTTGGGGCGACGGCGAGAACTCCACGGGCGCCGGCGGCAGCTCCATCTCCCCGGCGAGGATCTTGACAATGTCCGTGCTGTCCGGGCGGTGCTCCGGCTGGCGCTGCAGGCACATGAGCGCGAGCTGCGCGCAGAGCGTGGCCTGGCCCCTGTCGTAGGCGCCCTCCAGCCGCTCGTCCATGAGCTCGAGCACGTTGCCCGCGCGCGCGAGCTGCCGGCACCAGCTCACCAGGTTGGCCTTCTCCAGCTTCATCGGCGACGAGAGGATGTGGAGCGGCCGCCGGCCCGACAGGATCACCAGCACCAGCACGCCGAAGCTGTACACGTCGGCCTTCTCCAGCGGGTCGCCCTCCGGCGCCACGTAGCACACCGTGCCGCGCATGCTCGTCGTCGTGCTCAGCTCCCGGCTGAACAGGTCGCCGCTGTGGTGCACGTCGCCGCTGCCGGCGGACTGGCCGTGCCGCCGGCTCCTCTTCCGGCTCCTCCGGAAGCTCATGTCCTCCAGAGCGCTCCGTTTGGCGTTGCCGTCCCCGTTGGCATTGCCGGTGTTCACGCTGCTCGACCGCAGCCACGGCTTGCCGGCGCCGCCCCGGCGCGGCTTGTCGACGGTGCCGCCGGCTTTCTTGCTCATCTCCTCGAAGAACTCTTCCTTCCACCACTCCCGCATCTGGGTCGCCTCCTTCTTGTCGCCCGCGGCTCCTTTGCTGGCGCTGCTGTCGGCATTGCCCGCGTTCTTATTGTCCTCGTCGGCGACGGAGGGTGAGTTCTTGAGGTCGCCGTCGTCGGCCCAATCTGGGTTCCTCTCCGGGCAGATTTGGCTGCCGATCCACTCGGCCACGTAGTCCCGTGGGTCGAGCTCGTCGCTGTCGTCCTGCTTCACCTTCATCCACCACTCATTTCCCGGCGCTCTAGCCGGCGGACCGGGGTCATCCTTGGCGGAGGCAGCGGTGGAGAGGTCGAGGTCGCAGGCCTCGCCGAGTTCTTGGCTCATGAAGTCGTCCCCGCCGGCGACGGGTCCAGTGTCGACGACGGCATCGGGAGTCTTGAAGCGCGCGAGGCCAAAGTCGGCGACCTTGGCGCGGAAGTCGGCGTCGAGGAGGACGTTGCTGGGCTTGAGGTCCCCGTGCACGACCGGCGGCTGGCACTCGGCGTGGAGGAAGGCCAGTGCGCGCGCCACGTCGCGGACGACTCCTCGCCGCTGCGCCCAGTCGAGGCAGCGGTCGTCCCCGAAGAGCGCGGCCTGGAGGGACCCCTGCGGCAGGTACTCGAAGACGAGGAGCAGGGGCCGGCCGTCGGCGCCGGAGCCGGCGTACCCGAGGAGGGAGACGAGGCGCGGGGAGTCGGGCGGGAGGGAGGCGAGCACGTGGAGCTCGTGCGGCGAGGAGCAGGTCTTGACGGCGGCGAGGGAGGCGTCGGGGAAGGTGGCGAGGTAGACCGGCGAGGCGGCGCCGCGGCCGAGGAGGCGGGACGGGTGGAAGCCGCCGGTGGCGCGGCGCAGCGCGCGGCGGGAGTAGCGGCTCAGCGGGCGCGCGGGCGGGGAGAAGGGCAGCGTGGGGCGGCGGCGGCGGCGGCGGAGGTGGAGCGCGAGGAGGACGGTGAATAAGAGGAGGAGGAGGAGTACTACTGCTGTGGCGGCCGCGGCGGTGGCCGCGAGGAGGAGGTGGCGGTGGTTGCTGGCGGCGTGGAGGGTGGCAGGAGGGGGAGGGGGGATGGTTGGTGGCTGGGCCTGGAGGTGGCGGGAGGGCATGGCTGCGCTGTGCCGGCGCAAGCGGCGACTTGTGTCGGGGCGGGGCGGGTCACGGGTGGACGTCTAGTAGGCAGACAGGCAGCCAGCGAGGGCCCGTGGTTGCTGGCTTGAGTTGTCCGCCATTTTTCTATTTGCTCTGCTCCTTCCTCTCTCCTTCTTCCTCTTCCTCTTGGATGGATGGATGGAGGGAGAGTTTTCCACCATGCACGGTGGGCACGAGGCGGCACACAATCCAACATTCCCCATTGCTTTTGCTTTTGCTCTGCTTTTGAGACCGGTGTTGTATACCATTCCAGTCAACCCCAGTTTTGATACTCGTATTCTACGATGTACAACCTCTCTATCAAAATATATGATGTTTTTCGACACTAATATATTTAATACAGTCAGTAGATCGTTTTCCTCTCGTCCCTAGCAGCTGGAACCCAGCCGAAAGAGGCCAATCTTTCGGAGCCGTCCTCCGCCGACAATCTCGGTCGTCGGTGGTGAGGGGCCGCCGGATCTACGCGTGTGGATCGTTTTTACTTCCTCGTGGTCTAGGTTTTTTGGTTGTTCATCGTCTTGGCATCGGCTGCGACGATGACAACACTGAATAAAGATTTTTCGGATCCTCCTTGCCTGACGAGGCCATCGGTACTATGATCGGAGATGGATTTGGAAAATCAGTCTGTTTAAGTAAGGATGGCATGGCGGCGGTGTCATCCTCATGGTGGACCTGTGTCCTCGGGCTCCGCCGTTGCGACGGCGTTTGTTCCAGCGTCGGCGTGGAACTTGGGAGGAAGTCCAGGAGCGGATGCAGATTGTGGTATGCATCGACCACATCTGAAAGACGGAACGTGTGCTAGGTTTGTGATTCGTGGAATGACAGGTATGGTTTCCTCCTTCGGCGTCTTAGTCATGGTGGGGTCCAAATCTGGAGTTCGATGGCGTGTCCGATGTATGTGCTCCGGTTTGATTCATTCAACGATAAGGACTTCACTTTTGGTGAGTCAACTTGAATGTCCACAAAGCTGCTTATCAGTGATGGAGCCGCGTCGAGCTTGGGTGACAAGGTGATCCGTCATTCTTTTCTTTGGTGGCTATTGAGGTGATGCCGAAGGCAGGTGACGTGCATGGGTGTCAAGCTCAGAGATATTCTGCTATCTTTTCATTTTTATTATGTCTTTACGTGACTTG